CAATAGCACTTATATTTAAATTATTACAAATAAAAAATGGAAGAAAAAAGATACCATAATTTTCAAAATGGCAAAAGACTTAAACAGGCCCTTCTCAAAAAATATCCAAATAATATCCAAGTACCCAATAAGTGTACAAAATTGTAGTCAACTTCTTAACCATCAGGTAAATGTAAATTAAACCCATCATGCAGTAATGTAATACTGCTGAATGACTAGAGGAAAAAGGACAGAAGATACCAAGATTTGGTAAGGTTAGAGAACCAGACTCTGTGAACAGCTACTGGGATCATAAATTGATATAACCACTTTGGAAAATTTATTTGCAATATTTATCAAAGATAAATATATGCATACCCTAGGACTCAACAGTCACACTCCTTCCTTGGTTTATATACAGCAGAAATGCTTACAAATATTCACAAGATATATTAAGATATATTCATAATAACATCATTGATAGTAGGCAAAAATTGGAAACTACTAAAATGTCCAGTAATAGTAGAAAAAGTAAACAAGCCATGAGACATACGCACAATGGAATGCAACAAAGAGAACAGGAAAATTACAACTGCACATGGCAACAAGAATACATCTTGATAGTCAATGAAAGTAGCCAATAAAAGGATACTCTATGGTAGCATTTAGATAAAGTTCAAAACCAGGCAAAGATTTTCATGGTGAATTTTTCCTGTGGTAGTGATTTCACGAATCTACTTATGTGATAAAATTTCATGGAACTATACAATAAAAATGAGTACATGGTGAAAGCTGAATATGGTCTGAAGCTAGCTAAGTAATATTATTTTACCAACATCAAGTACATGGATGACGATGCACTGTGGTTCTGTAATATATCACTGAGAGAAGCTGTGTAAAGGATACAGAGGAACTCTCTGTAATACACTTACAACTTCTTGTGAATCTAAAATTATTTCAAAATAAAAAGTTTTTTAAAAACAGACAACATTAGTATATGGTGCTAGGATAGCAGTTACCCTTGGGAGAACCCAAAGAGACCAGATGGGGACAAACACTGGGAGGATTCTGGAGTATTGTCACGATGTATTTATTGATTTTGGGCTAATCACACAGGTATACTCATTTTACAAAAATCACCAGGCTATAAATTTGTCTGCTTTTCAAATCTCTATGGATACCATACTTCAATTAAAGCAACCATGCACTGGTGAAGAGTTTGGCCCAGTGCCCAGCACACTGAGGTAAAAGTGTTTCTGAATATCTGCGGCTATCTCCTATTGTCAGGTTTCATCTTGTGTTTTCATTTCATAGAGGAGGTGTTTTATCCCTTAGGACTAGGGTGCGAGTTCTAGGTGGGTTTTTCAGGAATAGTAAGACCTTCTGGCAGGAAAAATAGACCCCAATGTGAAGTCTAATGTGCCTCGTCCTAACACTGAGCACAGCAATAAAGGTTTTTTAAAATATATATATATATAACTAGGTACATAACTTTACTAATCACCAATAATTCCATTATTTTATTGCTTAAAACAAAATACAGTTCATTTTCAAAAACTTGAAAATGTAAAATAATCTTGGCAATATAATAATCAAGCAATGTTCTGTTGCTGCAAGAACTTTATACAAATTACAAAGTGTGTACTCTGATTCAGCAATTCCGGAGGAGCAGGAGAGACTAAGTAGATTCTAGGCACTTGAGCCTTTTTGATAAGCTATGCTTCAGTGCTGCTGCTACTTCCTGCAACTCCTGAAAGGTTTTTATTGTTAATATGGAGAAATAACGTTCTGCCAAAGTCAAAATAATGGGGTTGTTGAAACTATAGAATATACTACAGTACTCAGGTTGTAATTATTTCATAGTATCCATCTCAGCAAATCCAGCTTTAATTTTTTGTCAGTTTGGCTTTTTAATGATACTTCAGGAAAGTTACTTGAGATTTGTTTTTACTCCTTTGGTGTGAGCCACAATGGATTTTTCACCCATTTTAATGGGGTAGGACTAAGAAATACAAACAAAGGCAGTAGCTGTTCTTAGCCTCTGAAATCTTATGTCTCAATGGGCAGTTGCTGTATCAATTACAGGATGAAAAATGGTGCACTATAATCCTTTCCCTTGAAGAATCTGCAGATCAGAGAATGGTCATATATGCTCTGGAGCGTGTGACATAAAAAATGTTAAAGTATATTCTCACCCAAGAGAGAGTTACAATGTGGGAAATGGATTTTTACATAGCCTTTAGGACATTGACATTGTCTACTTCATATTTTGAAAGTGGGTTACAATTTATGCATTGCAATAAGATTTGCAAGAAAATGTAATTTTCCTTATTGTTCTTTATATGCTTTCATCTTGTTTTAAAGTTTCCAAGCAAAACAGGGTGGAAGGGCGGGGGGACTTATTTCCAACTTTTCTGCTTAAAACAACCTCCAAGTCACTTACCCTCTTGAGTGCAGATATTCAGAAAGATATTCAGAATTTTCAAGACACTGCCACTCGCTCTTCCCTCTCATCTCCCTGCAGGCTATGGGCCACCAGAAGGAGAAGGATGGTTCACCACCTGAAGTGGCGTGGAGGAGGACCTCACGTCTTTGCCTTATAGGGAAAGGTATGGTCTAACCTACCTAGTCCCTAGATGTGAGCCTCCATCTTCCTCGTTGCCCTTGACTAATCTCAGTCTTGCTCTCAGCCCAGGCAAATCATTTGTTGGTTGCTTTTGTGGAAGATGCCCTCTCATCTTGTATGTACGTTACTTCTGCATATAAAAAATAGTATAGTTATAGTAAAGCGCTAATCCATAGGTTTTAGAAGAATAAATGCAAGAGAAATAATCTTTGACAAAGTAAAGGTATAAATTTCAAAAGGTTGAGTATGACAAATAGAGACCTTCTTATAAGTCAATGATGTTTTTATTTTCATCAATACAATGAATTTTGGTCTTGTAACTTCTTAACCAATTAAAAGCTACTAGGAAAGTGATTTATTCGAGCAATTGCAAAAAAATTATATTAATAGAATATTTCAAATATTCATTTTCATTTCTTTAGATCTTATGTCCTCTGTTCTAATACTGTTAAACATCATGATACTATAGTCGTGTTTGAATTCAGATCCTATATTCTATATTAGAATCCTATTTAAGTACATGCTTCTTCTTGGCTAATGCTTTCATGGTAATTTTTAAATGCCTTACCACTTTTAATTGCTACAATCAATACTTTTCCGAGCTTCTGGTTCATGTGGTCTCTCAGAGCTGGTCTTAGTGCCACATTCTTCCACATCCCTCTGCCTTTCTGGGCATCTGGTTCACACTTGAAGTCTCTGCTGCCACCCCATAAGGGACAGTCCCAGGTATGACGTGAGGATGGAATTGTTCTCGCCCAGGAAGATAGACGTTACAGCCGCTAAGATTACTGACCATCATGGAGGTCTGTGATTAGTCATCACACTGACTACCTTTGTAACTGAATACTTAACCACCTAAGATGCCACCTGGTGGATCCTTGTTCTTCAAGGTCCCCTCCTTTAGACACAAGAAAATTAGCTAACATTTACTGAAAACTTATATGCCAAATACTTCCTATTAATTACCTCATTTCATCCTCACAAGTCTTTGAGGTATATAATGCTAATATACCTATTTTATAGCCAAGGAAAGAGGCTCAGAGAAGTTAGGTATCCTATTTGAAATCACAGAACTGTAAACAATAAAGCTATGGTTTGAACCCATCAAATTCTAGTGCTATTGAAATTGGGGCAAAGAAAAGTGAAATAGTTTGTCTACAGTTATAAAGCTAATAAGTATCTGTACTGGGATTCAAATTCAGATTTCACCCAACTCCAAACCTTTGTTCTTAACCATAGAAGACAGGGAGGAGGACTGAAACAGAAACATTGAAGATCAATCTATGAGAGGAGCACAAATTCAGATGGTCATAGCAGGAACCAGCCTTTAAATAGAAACTGGATAGAAGGTGTGTTAGAGCTGACTAATCAGAGACTCATTTCAGCTGACTGGATGGTGGGTCTTACCAGACTGAGAGCAAGGTCTTTGGAGAACACACGGTGCATCCCACCAATAAGAGCTACATATTGTAGTTGGGTCAGTGATGGGATTGTCCAATGAATGACTGAGAAAAGGGGATTATTCCTTAAAACTGACCAATCAAGAACTCCAAGCCAGGCCTATGGCTCTAAGTTGGAAGCTTGCTCCTTGGAAAGGTAATCTGACTTCCTCCTGGCAAAAGGCCACTCTGGGCTCTCACTGGCGCCAGGGTTCCAGGAATCAGGTCTGAGGCCACGCCTCAGCTAGTGGTAATGCCAGGCGCCTTTGCTCATAGAGCAGCCATGAGGTCAACCGTTTGTGTGACTCACTTCATGAAAATGAGGCAGCAGTGTGAGGCCTTACTGTTTCTCTATAAGCATTTAAATTGATTTTTCCAGCTGGTTAAATTTCCCCTTTGTTTTTATGCAGAGGCATAGGGTGTGGCTGGATCCAAAGATATTATTACCAGGTAAACCAGCTCTCCTGTCACCTGCCATGCACAGTTCAGACAGAAGTGGCCAGGAGTCACTTCTAGGGACAGCCTCACTAAGACTCATTACCTGAAGCAGCTCTGCCAACTGACAACCTGGGGAAGCCACCAAGGGCTAGGGATATCCTGAAGAAGAGAAGCTAGAACCTAATCCTGACACACCCCATTGAACAATGAGAATCTTTGAGAAGTGTACAGAATGGTTCTCAGAAGCGTCCCCCTGACAAATGATAGCTGGAATCCTTGCCCTCTGTCTCCTCTCCTCTGGCATCTGGACATTGCTCCTGAGGATGTTAACTGTCTTGTGCTTCCAGGTGGAATTTGCATACTATGAACGAGCTTCTCTGTAATGGAAATAGCCCTGAACCGGAATCTGGAAGGGCTACCAGATTCTGGCTCCTACTTGAGTTAGGACTTTGAGAATGAGTCTGTATTAGTCAGTTCTCCGTTACTGTAACAAGATTTAATCAAAGAGAAAGGGTTTGTTGCAACTCACACTTTTGGAGGTTTCAGTGCATGATCAATTTGCCCCATTGATTTTGGGCCTGTGGCATGATAGCACATCATAGCAGGGAGCAAAACTGTTCACTTCATGGCTGAAAAGCAATAAAAGAGAGAGGAAGAAATGACCAGGGTCCCATAATCCCTTTCAAGGGCACACCCCCAATGACCTGAAGACCTCCCATTAGGCCCCACCTCTGAAAGTATCCACCACCTTCCAATAGTGCCACTCTAAGGAATAACAGTTTAACACATGGGTCTTTGGGGGACACTTAAGACCCAAAACTATTGTAGAGGCTGCTCTCACACAGAACTGTCCACTATAGGAGCAGCTGAAAATCAGTGGCCAGGGCCTTGTGGTACAGTGCCAGGGCTACACACACACAAACACACTGACTGGAACCTTCCTAAATATTTTTCTGAACTCTGATGGATGATAGCAGGGAAATAAACTCAAAAGGACCAAGAAATGTGAACCAGTTTACCTCACACAAACTGAGGTATGTACTACCCACACTTCTACCTAAAAGGTATTGGAGAAAAACCTACTGAATTCTAAATCTTGCAAACTTGGGATCAACTCCTGGCCCTGTCACTTATTAAGTTAGTAATGATAGGCATGCAACTTGGCTGCTGTAAGCCTTAGTTTCCTAGAGTGTGTAATAGGGAACAAAAATGCTTACCTTCTGCAAAAGTATGTGTAAGGCCCTTCCTTAGGAGATAGTAAGCCCTTCTTATAAATATGCAAACTCTGAAGGTTTGCATGGGCCATAAGGTACCTCTGGGCTTCAGGCTATCTCTGAGGGAAAGTGGCCATTCCATCTTCCGTGGACCAGAAAACTACCTGACATCCTGACATTTTCCAGGTCAAGACCAGATAGTATATGGGCTCTGCTGTCCTCTCCAGAACCCTAACAGAACCACTTCTTCTGATTTGGTTCAAATAATTAGGAGTTACAAGGGAAGATAGTCTGAGTGAGATATGTGAAAGCCAGGAATTAAAATATAATGTAGAAAAGAACAGACTTTGGGGAATTACCTTGACCTTTCCTTCAACCACTAAAAATGGAAACTTTCATCTATGAACTTTTTCGCTTCATAGTCTGGATTTCTGTACCATTGAGTGAAGTGAACAGGACATTGTAGTTAGCAAATTCAAACTCCACAAGACAGTATCCAAATGCCTGTGGTACTAAACTGTGCTAAAAAGTGATGCTATCTACAAAAGACATTTTAAAAATTTATTTATTGCTCTTATTCCAATTGTTCCCATATATATCATTCTTAGAACTCCTCAAATTTCTCCTTCAAATGACCTAAAGTGTGAGTTTAATCTGAGTTAAAGGACCATGAGTTTTAGTCTAAAAACCTCCTTTCCCTGACTTATTTGCCATGTAGACCTATCTGACATGCAGACAACAGGTCTTCAGCAGATCTTCTCTAGGAGGAGTTGGGGAAAGAGCCCATGCTAGGAGCAGAAAGGCCAGAGCTCTAGAGCAGTTTCTGCCATGAACAGTCATGTGGCCTTGGGCAGGTGCCTCACCAAAATGGGCTCATTTCCTTTTCTTTAAGGTAAGGGGCTTAGACAAGAGGTGTTCTGGGAGTCTATGGGTGTGATCTCTAGGGGCTTAGGCAGAGGTCTCTTGATAGCCTGGATTTTCTGAGCCCTACCATGACGTCCTTGGCTTGGCTAAGGCTCCCGCAGGGCAGGATCACATTGCCCCAGATTCCAGGACTGGCTGAGGCACAGACCCAGGATCGGGTGACAGATCCATCCAGCCTGGACTGGCTCAACCTCTCTGCTACAGCCACAGCCATGGGGGATGGAAAACCAGAGCTAATGCAAACCAGCTGGAGGCCAAGACAAGATTGATGAAGGATAGGGAGAGGATTTGGCCAGGATTGGAGGGATGGAGGGGGTAAGGAATAATTAGTCCTGCCTGCTTCCCAGAGGCCCCCAAGTCAGGTAAACCTCATTAATTGGGAACCCCCACAGAGGGGAATTCCTGCTCATGACCCAGAGAAGGGAAGGCTCCTTAAGAGTTAATTAGTAGTGAAAGTGCCAATTGGGGAAAGTGTTTAAACTATTGAGTGACTGAACACCTGTTTACCTACAAACAACTGATATGTCAATTATGTAGCCATCAAAACAGGTCCCGAATGATCGTGATTACCAAATTTAGGCAATCCTGAGGGTTACTCAGAAACCTTGGTATGAATCAGTGATCTTGATTTGTCAGCCAGGGCTGAAAACTGCTGCTCCAAACTATCCTAGCTCAGGATCTCTTGGCCAAATCTCAGTGGTTACAACTGTAAGCAAGTAAGAGGTACTACAGCCACAGGTTTTCTAGAATTCATTTATTATTTACTATGCAGCAAGAACAAATGCTAGGCTCCTAGAATGCATTGTCTCTTTTAATCTCCATTATAGTTATGCGTGTTAGGTGTTATTATCTCTTGTCTACAGGAGATGATGTAATTGCACTCAAAGAGGAGAAGAACTTGCTGGTTAGTAGAAGTTACGAGGTGGCAGATTTATATCTGATATCAGATATGTTGACTGCAGAGCCGAACTCTTGACTTCAACTTTTAAAATGATTTCCAAAGCCTTTCCCGACCTTTGTTTGATTGAGACAAGACATTGTTATGCTTTTGAGGATAGTCATAGTGATACTCAAGATATCATCCATTATAGATGGGAAAATCCACTGCTAGAAAGGGATATTAATTGATTCAAAGAGTCCATGTTTATGGCTCACATGTCTGAGCCATTTTCTGTTAGTTAAACTTGTCACCTGGGATTATGGACTGGAAGGAAGAAAAGAGGCTGACCTCCATTGCTAAACATCGGTGTGTCTGCCCCAGTATTCAAGAGGTAGAGCAATGTAGTTAGGAGCACGAGGCTCTGATCATAGCCATACCGCCAACTCCATGTGTGACCTGAGACAAGACACCGAACTGCAGGCCTGAGTCACCCCATCTGTCAAATGGGGATTACGTAGAGTGAACGCTGTTATCTACTCTGTCTTCTGTTTTGTGAGTGGAAAGGGAATGAGGGAAAAGTGTACTATTGTGAAGAGATTGCTCCAACTAGTGGGGAGCAGCCTTGACTGTAGGGAACCTCTTGCACAGCTATATGACAACTTAGGACTTGATTAAAATGTCCCTTTAAGCTTGGCTCCTGGAGCCCATCTTCTTCTTTCTGGGTTTGTAGAACTCTGAAGAAAACAATTCCTAATTTTCTCCACGAGCTGGCAAGATGGTTGACCAGATGACCCTCTAGACCTTCTTTCATTGACCTAATTGATCAGAGAAGCTTATAACCCTATCCCTCAGACAAACAGCAGCCTCTTCTAGCGCTACCCACACCTAAGGGACCCATCCGGATGACCGCCTAGTTCCCTTCCGGCCCTGGTGGAGACAGGAGCCTCCCCCACCTCCTGCTCACTCCTCGCTCCTCGCTCCTCGGCTGCCAGCCCAGCAGCTGTTGCCTCAGATCAGTGTGGACCATCTAATCCTCTCTCGAGCCCTGGCCCCCTCCTCAGGCAGTAAATTAAGGAGGATGTAAGAACAGAGGGCACCAGCGTCAGCAGAGCGGCATCCAAAGCATCCTCCCCCACCCCCTGCCTGAGTCATAGGGCCCTGATTTGGCCCCTCTCTGCCTGAGGTGGGGGAGGAGGAGGCAGGGACAACTAGGCCTGAGAGAAGAAGGGGAAGCAAGAACTCAGGGGAGGGAAAGGACAGGGGCTTATAGAGAGGAACCAGATCAGACTCATTCACCTTCCTTATGACTCTGTGTGAGTAATACAGAGCAGGGTGCCCAGATGCCAGTCTCTTTATCATGTCCCAACTCTCTAATCCCATCTCTTTCACATGCCACACCCAGCTTGACTCTGTCTCTGTCACTAAGATGGGCAGAGAACAGTCAACGGTCAAGAGTAGGAATACTTCACTTCAGGGTCCACCCCAAATCCCTGTGCTGAGGGGCTGTGGTAACAGAGGCATTTTTGCTAGCTATCTTTACCTCCTGTCCCTGAGAGCATAAACTACAGGAATGACCTAAAATTCTGCTACTCCCCAATTTAGAAACTTCTAAGACACCCTGTGCAGATCACATATTCATGCTATACCAAGAACTTCCTGACCCGACTCCAGTCTACCAACAAACTAAAAAATGAAGGAAAAGGAAGAAAGATAACCAAATAAAATTGATACAGTGTTCATGAATGTGACCTAGAAAGAAGAGTAATGTAAAGATGTTGCTCAGTTTTTCAGAGATGTCACCTGGGAAGAGGGACTAGTGAATAAAACAGTGGCTTTTAAATAAAATGATAAACCCCAGGAGCCTGAGATTTTTAAGTCAACAAAGCCAATACCACCTTTTAGTGACTAAGACATATAGAATGAGACTTATTACTCAAAAATAGGATGGAAATGTTTCATGTACACAAAGAAAATGGATCTCTTAATAAGATGGATAAATAATCCTGTATGTCAAAATATCAACATTCATATTTCAGACTTCCTTTAAATATCACAGATACACTGATGATTGTCCAGATCACTCCACTGAACTCCAAACTCCTATCTGTCAGCTTACTTGATGTCATCACTTGGATAATCAACAGACCTCTCAACCTAACTTATCCAAAACTAAACTCCTGACACCTCCCACAGACTTGGTGTCTCAGTTTATGGGAACTCCATAATTCATATTCTTCAGGCAAAAACCTTGACACTGTATGAGTCTTCTGTTTGTCTACCTTCTCCACTTCTACCATATCCAATCTGTCATCAGATCCTATTGGCTCTGCTTTCAAATACCATATCTAAAAGCTGACTACTTCTTATTTCCATCATTATTACCACTACGAACAAAGCTACAGTCATCTTTCTTATTTTATAATAAAAAATTTTATTAGGATATATTTGTTATCCAGGGGAGATTTTAGAATGACAATTCTGATTAAGCTTATACTGTACATTGGTTAGATCACTCCTATTGTCTCTCCCCTTCAATGCCCTCCCTGCCTCATTTAAAGCAATTGCAAGAGGGTTTCTTTGTTCTATTTCATATAGGTATATGAAGTTCATC